GGGAGCCCCAGAAGTGGCCACCCGAACAGACAGCTGCTTGCAGAGGAGCCCTCGCCTAGGCACGTCAGGAGGCATCTATACGAACTGACGGACGAAGTCCAGAGGTTCACCAAGCATCCTTTGGACCCGTCAGCTTTCCGACTGGCCCTGAACGGCATTCTCAGGGAGTCAGTCTCGAGTTATGTAGACTCTAGACCTGTGAATGACGTTCTAGGCACACCACCACCGGACATAGACTAGACGGAGCTTCATCTGCCTCGGGAGACCAGAACAACAATTGCCCAACTTCGCTCTGGCTACTGCAGCAGGTTATACTCTTACCTGAGTAGACTGAATGCGGATGTGCCAAATGAGTGTCCGGCATGCGGAGAGACCCCACATGACTCGAAACATCTCTTCGCATGCCCGGCAAACCCCGACAACCTTAACGGCTTTGTCCCTGTGGATCGACACGTTGGAGGCTGCACGCTTCATACAACAACAACCGGTATCGCACTTTTTATTATGTATAGCAACTAATCTCAGAATACAGAAAAGGGCAAACAGGATCCGCATTTCCTTTTTTGACATGTACATTTCGAAGTGATGTGTTTAACAATTTATGTAAACTTTTACCAAAATCGTGAAAAGCGGGAAACAGGAAATTTTGCTATTAGACTAAATAACCAGTTGCGATACGTAATGCGAATTTGAGTAAATATGTAGTTGCCCATCGGCTCTCAGTCGTCATACAATAGGCCATACATTTCCTAAAGATAATTTAGGTAGGCCTTCTTAAGTGAAGCCATTCTAAGAGGCCTACCCAAGAAGAGCTGAAAAAAGGACTTCCTTGCATGCCTTCTAGAAGGGCTTATTCATTTACAATTTACGCGAATGCATAAATTTTTATTCTGCCTTATCCTGAGTTTTGCCTGTAAAAAAATTCACCCGAAAATGTGTCATCCGTCCATAGTAAAACCATGGAAACAAAAAGTAAAAAGTGAACCGGCTCGGGGAAAATTAAACTCATGATAAGGCTGATTAATTATTTAACATTACAAATGAATTCGAATAAAAATTTTAAGTTACAATAACACATATTTTTATAAACCTTAAGCAAATACTTCAAAGATGTATGATTTTTATAAATTAAAGAAGCAACTTAAAAGAAATCTACTAAAAGGCCTTTGAAGTACGTCCTATAAAAGCCCTTCTAGCGAAAGAGGAAGACCTTCAATTTGTGCCACTCCATACAGAAAATAAAGGAATGTAGAGTGGAAGGCCTCTTGATTCTCAGGAAGGCCTATCGGAAGGGCTTTTAACTCCTGAAATTATATACTGGGTAGTTAAGGCAGATCGACATTCACCAACACGAATCCTTTCATTTAACACTTGGGGAATATTTTGTTTAGCTTAACGGATACGACCCTAGGAAGCTATTCGGAGAATTTAAATTATATAAGTTATAGAAATCCAGTATATAAATATTTAAGTTAAATACAAGCCTATTTTCATAGACAAGAGAAGTTACATAGTTTTTAGATTGAAATAAACCACAAAATTTAATAAGCTGCATAAATTTGTTCTACTTTCCAAATTAAACTACATATGATGTATTTAATTTAAAAATTTTTGTGGTGTGTGGTTTTATTTAAACAACCGTTTATTCATCATTCTCGAATTCCTTGGGATTCTTGCGAGACAAGTGGTGGTGTTCACGTTCCGTCAGGTCATAGATCAAGTATCCAACAATGAAAGCTATAAAATCACACAAATAATAAATCAATTCAATAATTCAAGTTGAGATTTCATAACTTACGCGGTGTCACAATAAAAATATTGGAACGGATGCGTCTGAAAATGTTGGGCAAACCTTTGCTTATCGCGCCAGCAAACGCACGCTGTTCAAATGGCGACAATTTATAGGTGACAATGCCATGTACCTTGGCCAAGTTGCCAAAGTGGGCTCCAAGCAGGGACGAGGTGACGCGCATCTTGTTTGACTATGTATTCTCTACACTAGAATTACAAACGAACACTGGTGAATAGATGGCATTATATGATGTCAGCAAGCTAAGAGGTGGACAATTATTTGTATAAATATGCAAATGGTTATTATAAACATTTTGCTAAATATTTTTTTCTAAAATTCCTGCCGCAATGAGAGTTATGTAATTTTTTGTAGATCTTCAGCTCTGTAGCTACAGCGGGCGCTTATGCACGTTTGCGACACTTTTGCCCAAAATATGCATATTTATAGCCCTTTCGATATAATGTATTTTGCACATTATTTTTGGAAAATTCGCACACAAAATGTTTTATTACCTTGATCAAAGAAAAACACAAAAATTACGTGCCTTTAAACGGCTCGACAATTTGACGATGACAAACACACACAGGAACAGAACGTTTTAAGGTTCGTAAGTCATGTCAACTCTCAGAAATTTCCCTTTTGTTCTTGTAAATTATACATTTTATAACCATATATTCATGTGTTTAAAACTTTCCGTAAGATGTCTAAAATATATTTAGTTATTGATAGTTTTTTTAAGGTCAAAGATATTTTACTTAATTAAAAAGTACTTGAAATTAAAAAAAAATATAATAATTTGTGGGCTGTATTATGGTGCCCTTAATCGGGATAGACAACATTGTACGCCCTACAAATGACCAGTGTTGCCGCGAATATTTTTTGCAGTAACCTAATTCCTTTACGCTGACAACACACAATCAGTTTTGCCTTTCAATTTCTTCACACACATTGCTTGTCAAAAATTATCAAAATCCAAAGTCATTACGCATGGTGGAATAATAACAAGGTGTTGTCAGTAGCGACGTGTTTGTTGTAATTTTGACAACATCGGCACGCTTATTTTCAGTGCTACCGATCTTAATTTTTATACTACTATTCGTTGGTAAATTGTATTTAAAATAAACCATTTAAGTAAATCGTGTTATAGCTATATTTAAAGAACTTGGTGTTTTCAGAACGATATTAATATTTAAAATTGATGGATTTGTATAATTATTGTCCCCAAAATGTAAAAAAATAAAAGACATAGTGGTTATCAATGGAAAAAGACGTACACAAAAATCGTTTGGAAAGGCAATTTTTTATATAAAATAACTTTGGCTGCATTGCTAAATATTGAGCCAAATGGCTAATGGTTAAATTAGGAATTCGCTTAAATTATCGATATTTATGTACTTGAATCTATTTAAAAAATCATTTAAAGGCTTATATGAAATTTCCTTATTTTACCGCCTTTACTTTTTTAAAGATATGTCCAAGCTGTGTGGAGCTGCCGATAAAAACATATATCCAGGCTTATAAGCCTGTAGTTATACATTTTTCTACATTTAATTTGAAATAGTATGCACAAACGGATAAAAGTAGTAAAAAATTAGTACCTTTTCTATCACTTTAAAATGCGTGACCGGAATAGACCTGCCGAAAAAGTGAGGTTCAGTTACTGACAACCATCATAATAGGTTCATTCCTTATCTTTTTGGACTAAAATCTGAAAAGTGTCAAAATGCCAGAGCGTAAGCAAAATGCGCTCATTAAAAGAGAGTAACAGGAAAAGTAAAGGAACGCAAAAAACCAAATTTTTAGTCCAAAGAATGGCAACAACAAAACTAACGTCAAATAAGAAAAGAAATGTATGTACAAAACACATTCACACAAGCACAAGCACAATAAACACTTGCTATATCAATTATTTTTTGCCTCCTTCCAATTTCAATTCATTTCTTTTACTTTTTAGATTATTCTCACTTTTTGCGTATTCTTTAATTTCCGTTAATTTAAATTCAGTTGAGTTTGACACTTTTCAGGATTTTGCCAGAAAAAATTCTTCTGACTAAATCTGACTACTTCGGACTGATGAGAGTCGCTCTCACTGACTGTTGCTCTCTCATTTTTGCTGTCATTTCCGAGTTAAGGAACGCTTTTTGGACTAAATCTGACTACTTCGGACTTTTTCTGACTATTTCTGGGAGATAAGGAACGCGCATAATGCAATAAAACAGGTGTTATCAGTTAGCAACTTCTCGCTCTAATTCCGCCATATTAGCTCTGTTTCTCAACTGATAATTATCACAAATTATCACTAATTTCTGCTGGAAAGCGTTTCTTAACCCAAAAAACTAGCAGAAATTAGCAGCTCTCTCTCGATCTTACGCTCTTCTTTTTTTGGCACTCCTGCTAATTTCTGCTAGTAAAATTTTTACTAGCAGAAACTAGCAGCTGTCAAAATGGATAAACAAAAATTGGCGCCAAATACTTTCAATAGTTAAATACACCGATCAGCTGATTACTTGCTAGTTTATGCTAGTTTTGCGTTTCCTTACTTTTTCGTTATTTCGCTCTCTGTGAGCGCAATTCTTCCAATTTCCTCATTCTTCTTCTTCCTGATAATTATCTGCTAGAAAAGAAAATAAACAAAGCCATTGACTGCCTTAGGTGAGAGAGTGTTACTTCTTTAACATGATGCAATAATACAAGGTGTTATCAGTTGGCAACTTCTCGCTCTAATTCCGCCGTATTGACTGCCTTAGCTGAAACAGTGTTACTTCTTTAACAATTCTTTGCCTAATAATATAGTTGAATTTTTTTTTATTTTTTCTCAGTATACACATTTTGTTTTCTCAAAAAGGTATTATATCCTATTTTATTTTATTTCATTGCGAATATACTATAAAAAAGCAAATTTTGTTTAGAAGAAAATATGAAATTTTATATTTTCTCCCCAAATGGGGATTCATTTCTTCCCGTTTTTCTTCTTATTCTACTGAGCTAAGCCAGTGTCAAATCGAGCTGTCACAACTGATACCACCTTGTGTTATTGCATCATGCTTCTTTAACAATTCTATGCCTAATAATATAGTTGAATATGTTTTTATTTTTTCTCGGTATACACATTTTTTTCTTAAAAAGTTATTTTATCTTATTTTATTTCATTTCATTACGAATATACTATAAAAAAGCTAATTTTGTTTAGGAAAAAATGTGAAATTTTATATTTTTCCCCAAATGGGGCTTAATTTCTTACTGTTTTTCTTCTTGTGTCAAACCGAGCTGTCACAATTGATACCACCTTGTATTATTACATCATGGACAACCATGGTAATTTCTGGCCGTCTTCACATGCTTGAAAATCTCGCTCGCGTTCTGCTTTTTTCTCTTGCAAGCGAGATAGAGTTTTGTTGACTGGGCATTTGACAGCATACTTTTTCATTTGTAAAATGCCGCCAAACAAGAAGGTTAAAGCCTTGCAGGCTCTTGAAAGTTTGAGAAATTAGAAAATCTGCATAAAGAGATGTATACTATTTCCAAATGAAAAATGGCGATGTTGCTACTCTGAAGAATTCTGCGAAATGAGAACATAGCTGTCAAACAACAAAAATGACAGTTGAAAGCAAGTGAGAGCTCGCATACCGCTCGGTATGCGAGAAAAAGTATGCTTCGTACTTTTTGCGGTCTACACGTGCGGTTTCCAGCACGTGAAGACGGCCGGTTACGTAGGCTGCATTCAATTTGAGAATCGATTTCATTATCAACATTTCGTCTTCAAGAAAACATTAAGGGTATTCATCAAACCTTATAAATGCATTGTAAACCGTACATATAAACCTTATAAATTAACTGTCCAAAATTTGTATGGAAACTCGTTTGCACATTTCTGATAAATTTATCCAGCGATTTCACTGAATAAACTTGATAAACTGAAGACAATGCAACTCTGTCGCAACTCTAGCTGTGTTTTCTTCGGCAATAATCGGGATCCGCATACAAAATTTTGCGCGCAAATTCAACAACAACGATATGATCCTGATAGAGATCTGGTTCAATTATTATCCCGTCTGTTTATTTTGTTTCACTGATAATTTGGCCGCAAAGTTTGGTAGCCGTGACAAATGAATTCATACACAAACAGACAATCTGCTATTGTTTCTTTTAAGTCCCTTCAAATAAATAGCCTTTATGTTATATGTATATTTATTTGAATAGGTATTATCTAGTCAATATAATTTTTTCGAATTTAGTGAGGTAGTTTCTATAATTTCTTTATCCCCGCGCTAGTAGTATAAAGTTAGTGATACTGAGCTTTAAGGCTGATTCACATACAACTTTCTTCGCTTTGCTTGATAGTTCTTTGCTTTGACATATAAGATCGATATGCATATGCATGAGTATGCTCACATAAAAAACGTTTGAAGCAAAGCAAAGCAAAACGAAACAAAATCTTGGGCAACTCTCAACTTTTGCCCGCTTTGGCAATCAGCTGTCTATATGTATCTTTTCTCGTGCGCTTGCATTTGCATTTAATGGCAAAAATAGGGTAAATAGGAATTTTTATTGCTATTATTAATGCATATTACTATATTGCTATCTATTTTACAGATAAAAAATATGGAGGAAAAGGAGAACGCAAAAGCAGTCAAAGCGTTTATTGTAGCATACCTTCTGCGTTGCACGCTTTGTTGTCAAAATTTGAACTGTCAAGCAAAGCGAGGAAAGTTGTATGTGAATGGCCCTTTATAACCAAAGAAAACACGACTATTGTCGCATGTGTAAACGAAAAGAGAGTGTGGGTCGTTCATGTAACAGAGGGCGTAAACTTATAAGATTATTTGCTTGATAAAGTTATCGGTTTAGATGCAAGAATGATAGAATACAAGATTGCGCCAACGAGAGAGGATTTTTGAGCGTAATTTTTGCGTGATGTCATCTTGGTGCAAGAATGATAGAATACAAGATTGCGCCGATCAGAGAGGATTTTTGAGAATAACTTTTGTGTGACGTCACACTGGTGCAATTGCGAGAGAGAAATGCCAAAACGTGAGCAAGAATGGAAGAAGAAGAAAAAATGTTGCAAGGAAAGCGTAAACAAGTTGCACAAGTGTGACGTCATGCAAACAACGATTCTGTCAAATTCGTTAAGAGAGGAATAGCGGTCCGAGATCGGCGCAACCTTTGTATTCTCTCAATCGTGATCTTGGTGCAATTGCGAGAGAGAAATGCCAAAACGCATATAAAAATATGTAAACAATGCAGAAAAATTTGTTAATTTTAATATTACATGACCCAATTTTGCAGGAATCAATAAATATACAAAGATTGATTAATTAGGAACACGTAGCAATAACTTTGGACATGTAGCCCTTTAGGTAAGTACGATTTTTACAACAATGAAAAAATGGATGTATTAACAGTGTTTGCAATTTCATGTAGACCAAAAGGAAGGTGTGCAGCAAAGTGAATTTTTGGACTCGCCATTGTAAAAAGCCATGCAGAGTGCATATTTTTATTTTTGGACGGTAGCCAACCACCATAAAATGCCAAAACGCATATAAAAATATGTAAACAATACAGAAAAATGTGTTAATTTTAATATTACAA